ATTTAGGTACTGCAAAGACTTTGAATTTGAACCATTTAAAGAGTGAAAACGGCTCCTCTGCAGCAGAAATGAACATGTCGACGAGAACAATTTGAAACTACATTTTCCTTTCCTTCATAGATCAGCTGTCCTGAAGTGTTACATGTTCGGACGTTAGGTGTAATGTGTTTGTTGAGGGCTGTTATTTTTAGATATTACCACAGAGGAGCCTAAATAACCACAACTACTGATACAGAAACACTCTACACAAGACTTCACTCTTAATGACTCTATAGACTCTATAATGTATTCAAGGTGGGCCACAGGCTGTAACATTAGTCTTCCACTAGTCACATTAAGGATAAGACTTTCATTTTTCTCCTTGCATGTACAAAAGAAGACTAATCTTGTTCCAGATGAAAACATTTATAGATCAATAAGGTTCTTACTAAGAAAACAAGGCAAGACTCGAGGCTTCTTTACTATTACAAAATGACACACACTGTTTTCTGCCACAACCAACCATGCAAATATAGCAAATAAATAGAAACTTTTAAGTTCAACTCCTGACCAACTGTTAATTAAAATGTCTACATTTCCAACAGCAAGTAGAGCTGCCCGATATATTGTTTGAGCATCTTCATTGCAATGTACGTGTGCAATAGTCACACTGCAGGTCCTGCCATGTAGGAGGCAAATTAAATCAACGTGTTATCTAGAGACTAAACCACTAAACCATAAGTCATTGCACTAAAGGGCCGCATGTTACGGCTTTTATGACAAGATGCTTCCGCCGAAGGAAGCGGGCGTCTTTAATTTCGTCGTGGAACTTCTGGGACAATAATGGTAATGTTTTTTTGGGAAGTGTTGTCTGTCCTGAGCTGTGGAGGAAGACGAAAAGCTTGGCCAAAACGAGGAAGATGAGCAAATGTGTAGAGAAGTCGAGGAAAAGAGTTAAAATACAGAACGCTAATATTAAAGCATGACGGAATCAGAAACCAAGATAGACACAAAGGCAACATGTTAGATGGTAAAATGCATTTCATGTTTGCATGATAAAAGGAAACATACTCAGGTCCCAGCATTATAAATCATGCAATAAAAAATAACAAAAACAACTGAGTGACATTTTAATTTTGCATGAAAATTTTAATTAGGTCATTATATTTCCTGCACCCATCGATTGAACATTTCAAATAAAGTTAAACGACGCGACCAGTTAAACCAAAGAGACTGAGCATCTGAATGAACATTTGTTGTCCTCAATGGGCACCTGACAAGAAACCACTTGTTAACACTAAACCCATGCTCATGTTTAGAAATCAAGACAATAATTTATTTTTTGGTCAGTATTGCTATTTCATTTAAAATAATTTAACTTAATATTTAAATAAATATATTTACCAACCCTCAGAAGAACTTTTTATAAATGGTGCTTTAAATCGTGTTTATAAATTCTGTTAATAGTGAAGGCAGCACAGTTCATAGTAATGCACAGACCTGCTGCTCGGTGCTACATAACTTATGATAACCACAACAAAAATTAGACATGCACAAACTCATACAAACTGCAGGAAAATAACAGATTACGTGCACATTCTATTCCACAGCCAATTTAACTTCGTATTCCAATTGAAGTGGAGTATTTTGCCTTAAGTAAAGCAGAAGAAAAGTGAAACCAAATTAAAATTTGTATAGTTTAGCAATAAAATAGGCACTACTGGCCAATTAAAATCATTGTTGGTCAATTCATTGGTCTAATAGAAATTTCTTAATTAAAAACAAAAATGGCCATAAGAGGACATGTGTGGAGTTATTTTGTGCAATTGTGAAAATATAAACCGAGTTTGTGTATTTTAAAAATAAAATGAAATATTCATATTTTACAGTCAAATGAACCAAAATATCATATTGCTGCTATGTAACTTAATCCTCCAGTCTTTTATTACAGACTTCACGTCTTCTCAAACTGCAGTTTATTAGGTGTCAAAGGTTTCATAAAGCAAAGATTTATTTTTGGCTTTGTCAGCCACCTGCATCTTTATTATCACAATTAAATGAACGCTACATTTGCATTTTATGATAAACAGTTCCTGGAGTAATTCCTTCCACTTCACTAACGGTCACCTACATCAGTTAATGTTGTCTTTTTTTCCTACAGCTCATCTTCTAATAGTCTCATAAAAACCACCCCATGCTACGTGGATTCTGAAATCTGACTGTTCAGCAGCTTTTAACGTTTAATAAACTGACAGCCTATTTGAAATGCATTTTACCAGTCATTTATAAAAAATACAAACAAGTATGCTGTAGTGCATTACTTTCCAAAAACTGTCTGGATTCCAAATGTTTGGAAGATAAGGTTACAGAGAAATGCTTTCTAGCTGCTACTGCACTGTATATATTTCTGTCAGGAACTGTACATGAACGCTCTCTGAAATGTGGAAATCAGCAGTTCCAGTTTTGTATAGATGGAGTCTAAAAGTGGAACTTAGTCATCCTTGCACAAGTCTTGGGTGAGTCATCAGAGCTTGCCAGTCAATCCCAAAAAAGTGTCAATTTTCACTCGAGGAGGCTGCCATTAAGCTGTTCCTGCACTGAGTTAGCATCTGCATGCCTGAGTTATAGCTAATCTTGGTACTTTTGTACAATACGTATTTAAATGTCCTGCCAAACTACAAACAACTACGATACAGTTATGGGAAAAGGAATGCTTTCCCCTTCTTTCAGCTCTAAGGGTTTTATATAACAGAAATAAAAATAAAAATGATCTGGTCTTTGCCAGGTCCTACAATGATGAAATTTTAATTTCAAGCATTCAACCCTTCTAAACAAGCCACACCTGTTCACACTTCAGCTGTGTTTCTGTCAACTTTTTTATGCGCATTAGAAAAGGTTGATGGAAACGGCAAAAATAAATAAAATAAAATAAAATACAAAAAGCCGCTTGAGGTGGTTTTTGGATTTTCCGAAAAAGAGTTGATGCAAAAAATAGGGGGAGACACATGATTGACCAGGTGTTCCCGTTGTCGGTGACTTCTTGGATTTTCCCATAACGTGGAGAGAACCGCCCCGGACAGCATGTCACATGGCTATAATACTAGTTAATATGACAGAACAATTACAACTTGCCCGATAGCAACACATCCCTGAAAACTTTCCTCCATTGTCCTGAGATGTGTGGTCCTTGCTAGTTTGCATCCTCTACTTCCTGTTTATTACGACCATGCGTAACATGACTGACGAATTTACACTTAAAAAACACAGTGGTTGATTCATTCCAAACAAGTGGACAGAAACTCCTAATTCATATAACTTTTTTTTTCTTTTTTGTAACACTTTAAAAGTTTGTTTAAAATTTGTATTACAATTGGATGGAAACAGGATTTCTGACAGTCTTACGAAATGTACCATTTAAGCTGCTACCTGAAGCCTGTACAGTCTTAGAAGGAGCTTTTAGATTTGGGGAGTTTCTCTGAGCATTGCACAGTTTGACCTTTGGGTTTTGCTGGGACACAAACTCCTGAGAAGATTGGCAGCTGTCCTAAAAGTTTGTCACTGCAAGACAACAGCTTCCAACGTTTCTGATAGGCAGCCATATTAGCTTCTCTAAGGTCTTTCCACCTTGGCTTCGTGTGAACACACGTGTACGCCAGAGTTTCTGTACATGTTAGAGTTAAAGAATTTTAGAAAGTACTTAGGACCAGATAATATTCATTATGTCCTGATATGCAAAACCTGCAGAGGTGCACTTTTCTCCCTCTGGCGACTACATGCTGCAGTATTTTCCTCCTGCCCTGCACTCACAAATGGATGTTGGCGCAAAAAGTCATTTGCTAAGCTCCATTGGAAAAAAAAAAACTCCAGGGGGGTGGAAGTGATGCTTAATGATACATGACTGTTATCAAGAGACCAACACGTAATGATGCACAGTGGTGAAACATTATATGATAAATGACCCCCATATCTGGACAGTTAAATATATGGCAATAATATCTACTAGAATTGTGGATGGCATGATATATCTTTAGCAATCTGACCATGCTGTAGTTCTATACTGCCTCTTTATTAGATAACTAAACATGTGCTCCGGGAGGGACTCAGAGCAGAGCCGCTGCTCCTCCACGTCGAGAGGAGCCAGTTGAGGTGGCTCGGGCATCTGGTAAGGATGCCTCCTGGACGCCTCCCTGGTGAGGTATTGCGGGCATGTCCACACGAGAGGAGGCCCCAAGGAAGACCCAGGACATGCTGGAGGGACTATGTCTCTTGGCTGGCCTGGGAACGCCTTGGAGTTCCCCC